CTTGTCTGACAGAACGGAATCATGATTACGTTGACAGTAGAAACTTTTTTGAATGTTTTGTTTTTTGGAAAATCCCTCCATGTTTATATATTTGTGTTATGATATGACTGACTCTTTCTGTGTACATTTTGGTATTTTATTTGATTCCATTTTGAGATTTTATCATTGTATATTGTTATTATTTCTATATATTTATACTTATATTGAAGTTTTTATGTTTGCTTCTGAACTGTACACATGTTGTTTAAATTTGATATATAATATGGCTACAGCCATATTTGGATTTGATATCGTTGCAGTTAATACTAGCATCACCTATTCTTTTGGAACTGGATACCCATCAGGGTAATTGGGACTTGGAAGGTGTATTAAAAGTCAGGTATTTGTTTGTATTTCCATTTTACCATAATATAGACCACTTTCTCCTAGAATTATTGTGTTCTGATATTGAACTAAGGGAGGGTGCGTTCGACCTACACCTACTGGAAACAAATTGAACTGCTACGGTAGAAAATTCATCTACATTGATACTAATCTGTATGTCACTGATGTGAAAAATGAGTTGCCGACGATGACTAATGCTTATCAAACCTCCTCTGTATCAGGAGATGGAGAGTTAGATGTTGGTCCCATGTTATGCCACTTAGAGTCTTCAGGAGACTAGGAAATTTCAAAATTGGAGATCCCATCCTTGTATATTATCTGTGGGTCAAGAACTTCTGCTGATAAGTCAGCATCACTGACATCATTGTATCTGCCGTTCGGAGCAAGTGGTGGTGGATTGATGTCTCATCCCCATGATATGGAATGTAGTTCCCGGATAGGATATGACCAGCTTTACGACGTGTTGTACATGTCCATGTGGGTTAACTGGATAAGGCTTATACTATCGTTAGGTCATGCTACGATAGATAGGGGAATTAAGGGCCTGATGGGAAGGTATAGGTACCTAGTTAGCTTGATAGGTTATATCCATGTTGGAGGGCGGGTAGACGTACTGCTTTAAGTCCTACTCGTTCTTCCGGTGTGGATTAGGGGATGAGAGTGAACCCTTAATTAAAGTGTTAGAAAGGGCTTGTTTTGCATAGAGGGATTTAGTGGGCCGGTGTAGAATCTATATTGAATGTTTGTTGTCGATTGCTGGTGATGGACATACTTGGATTGTTGTTACCTATTTTTGTCGCTGAAAAGAACCAAGGTTCTTTTGGTCGAGGGTGTTACGGGAGGAATGAAGACATTTGGCTGATTAAAACCTTTATATAAATATCATTAATTTCACTGTGTTTTTTGGGTATATTTGTTTTACTTAACTTATGAACTTGTTTGAATTATTATTTCGGCCATTTTTGGACTCCTGTTTGTCTTGGTTTGTTCGTTGGCAGTTTTTTGCTCCAGGAACCTATAAAATTGAAGGTAATTGTAATTATTATAATTATTGTTGTTAGAACGACATTGGTCGTTTATTTGTAATAAACGAACGACATTTTGGTCGATTATTGTGAATTAAGAATAAACTTTGGTACCTACTTTGGAATTTCGTTTTGCTTTGAATTGGGTTCGTGAATTGCAGATAGATCGACACTGCGTACTTCTCAGGAGCAAGGAGCAAAATATTGGACGTAACACGAGCAACTGCCCGTCAGTTTTTACTGTTTAATACTCTATTTTGGGAGAGATAAACCTTTGGCTGTATTGCACAAGCTGTACCATTTGGGGTATTTTTGTTATCACCATACAGTTTGTTTTCTCTCTTAAATTAGAACCAAATAAATTAAGAACGGACTTTTTGCTTTTGAAAAAATTAATCTGAGCCACTTCAAAACACGTTGTACTTGGAGAAAAGAACGTAGTTTGGTCTGATGTAATGAACTTTGGATCATTAGAACTACGTTCGGACTAAATACTGTATACTTACACCATTTAACAGCATTAAAAAATACACCAAAAACTGTCCTGAAAAGTACCAGTATTTTCTTCACGAGCTATGGAGAATTAGTTTCCGAAGCATTGCTTGTCGTCCAATTACACCTTTATCTAATCTATACTGACTTCGAATCTAATATGAGGCGCTAGAAGCCACGTCTTCACTTGAAGCCACAAAAGTGAATAACGACGAATAGTAAAGTGAAATTACTCTCATTTACCCAATTCCAACGGAAATATTTTACACCAAATATTTTTGCCTAACAAGAGCAGAGAATAGGATAACCGCACGAAATGTCATCATATTTAAAAGGAAGCAGATATTTGGTAATGTACGGTCTTGGATTTTGTTTAGCTTCATTAAAGTCATCGACATATGTTATATAACCGCTGGGAACTTGAAAAAACGGGGTGGCCATTTCGTTTTATTATGGGACTTCTCTAAAGTGCACATCCACCACCTACCATGTACAAATCCAACGCAAACACCGAGACTCGAATGTCTAACTTCAACTAATTCATGATATTAGGTGATTATATTTTTATTGATGAATATCTACTTACCTTCTAACAACTTCTCTAGGAATACCTTCTGAGATAAGTATCGTTAAGTGAATAAGGTTCGAAGCTAAAAGAGAGGTGTAAAGTACGTCTACAAGTAGCGTCTGTCACTCGCTTCACGCTGATGTCCACGCCGCACCTTGTAGTGCCTATGTTCACTCACGGTATCTGAAAAGGGTTTTTTTAAAATTAGACATACAAATTAGGGATTACTGAAAAGTTAGGAACAGTATAAGTCTGTCCGGCCTCTGCCAAGGTGTATAAATCCGAAAAGGCACAAGCTTCATACATCTCTGATAGTAATTTTGAACATATTAGCTCTTCTCAGCAGCACACAACGCAGTAAAAAGCAGATTCTCTGACAGAGCCTAGGTAATATCTGCTCCTATAATCCTGCTTTATGTTAAAGATATATTCCAATCCTGTCCGTCTGAAGTCATAGTTTAATCAGTTTCAAGTTACTTTCATTGTAAGAGAGGATTGTCATAATTTTTGGTGAAAACCTAATTTATTTATACAGTCGATGTCATCTACAGGATCTTAAATGACTCAATGAGACGAATGTTTAGTTTTCTACCTGGTTCAAATAGTTCAGTTAAAACAGAGCGTCTTCTGCACACAGACCAACTAGCATTCTTATATATTTTAGGTAGACAACTGGTAATTACTCAAGTGCTTTCGAAAATTCACGGAAAGAATTATTTCGTACTAAAAATTCACAGTTATCGTTAGTATGAAAGCTCCAATTATAAGCATCACATTTTACTTAAAACCCATTTCAGATTGATATGCACGTATGTGTTTGTAGGGTATTAGCCGTGTGGTCCGTAAAAGTTCTTGATAAATAAACCTCTCACTATCTCGTCTTTTCTCTAATAAGTTAACTGAAAATTGTGACACTGTTTGCGAGTGACTTGGTCCAAGAGAAAGTAGATTGTCATGAAAACCTGGATTAGGCAGGCACTCACTTTGTCCTTGGCTTTAGTATTTTTGAATTTCAATTGTGCATAAAAACATGGTAGCGTTATTATTATTCTAAACCAACTATCCAGAACGACGAAGTCAGGCTGAATGGATCTGTTTCTGCATGCACGACTCATCCGCACCAAAGTTTTACAATGTCAGCTAAAAACAACAGAATTTCATTCATACATAGTCAAAAAGTTAAGGACCTAGAACAAAGACTATAGTTTCATCCATAAACTCTGATTCTCAAGAGGAGCTTTCCGAACTAAATTAGTACATCGACAAAAAACGCAAAGAAATTCAGAAACTTTAAAGATGTAAATGAAGCAATAAGAATAATGTGAAATGTATACGAAATTTGTTTTAATTGTTCACCACAGTTGGACTTGAATTTACATCATTTCAAATAAATCACTTTATCGTGTTGGTGGTTAGGTCAGAGTTTACAAACTTGGTAGGTTAGTACTACACAACACACATCAAGTTTTTTAGAAATATGGACAATGTTATATTCCTTTATTATTCATCATACACAAAGTTTGAACTTTATATCAAACATTTCTTCCTACTTCAGGTTTCCATGCATGATGTATTTTAATTTGATTCACTCTAGTGTGTGCAGAAAAATCGCTCTTAGTAGGCTCTAATTACAGAGAGTCGAAACTTCGGATGTCGTATGCGCTGTCGTTAACCTAATAAAGAAGTCATGTTCAGGATAGCACATCTTGAATTTTGGCGCGAAATTTATCCACACACCTGATTGTATTGCACTTTATCATTGAAACTGATGTTAGTATTTAATAAAAAATTCGACCCTTTGTTTAACACGCTGATGTCCCATTCTAGATCCTGTCACTGCCCTTTACTAGTATATAATCCTTTTTTAACCACTATAAGTAGGTGAATATCCCCTTGATCGCATTAGCAGCACCCAAAGGTCATCCATAAATTTCAATCTCAAACCATATTAATGTATATAGTAACTTATTTTTTATTGGTGAAAGTTTCATCAAACTGCAATCATCAATGCTATCACATAACAAAACCTAATGATTTCATTTCACTACTTATGTTTCGTAGGAGCATTAACCTAAATTCAGTTATATTATCTCACTCACCTTGTCTGAATATATAATTTTGTTGAAGAAAGGGTGAAAATCAATGAAAATTTCAAATAATGCGAGTCGATGTTCTTGATGATCTGCGGATGATCCAAGTTAATCTCATGTATTTAACTAGGAATACTAATAAATACAAATCCATTTAAATTACTACTCCAAGAGGGAAAAAATATTGTAGCCAGAGTTGTTCATCTCTTAACACAGGCGTAATAAGTCACTTACTCTACAATGAAAGAATAATATTTACATTATTAACACCAGTATTAGCTCCACTCAACGTAACTTTAAAGTAACATTATTTCAGCAACCTGATAACATCCATAGAACTAACAACAAATTTGAAGTCTACTGCCTTGTGCATGACTTTGCGTTTGTTGATTGCCATTTTTTCATGGTAAAATATCTCAAGCCTGTAGCCTTAATTTTTCCCAGTATCAATAGTTCTGTAAGTCTTCTGTATTAATTCTGACCTTATCAGTCTTGCTGGACACACTCATTCTTAAAGCTCCTAGTCACGCATCCGCACCAGATCACTATTGGGTACGCCATGTTACCCACTACTTGAAACAGCCAGTCAACTTAGCTACTATACTCTTAGGTGCACTGACTATCCTACAAATAAACCATCGAACTTCATTTCTAACTTCTGGTTTGTCTGTTTTCGGGATCATAAATCATAAAGGCATTGAGGACAACAGCGTTACCAAGCCATGAATATCCATGATATTGTCGAGCCCCTGAACTACAAATTAAAATTACACACGTTTGGCGAGTTGAAGTACGTTTAATATCTAAATACAAAAACACGACTTGTGTGCAGAATGTCACCTTTACCAGGAGCATCTGTCGTTGACTCGCGATCAAGATTTTATAATAACCTACACTGGATTTTCAAATATCAGCAGCTGACTAAAGTCTATTGGATAAGAATCCTACATTCTCTAAATTCTAGATGCTTTGGTTATATTAAATTTGCTGCAAATTTACACAAGAGTATTCATAGTCACTTTAATAGACCCAAATTCTAGACAACAGAATAGTAATTCTGTCTACTTGCACTGCTAGCAGTGATCATAAAGCGAAACGTTTCAAGTACCATGGAAACAATGTTGATTCTCGCAAAATTAATTTAATTCTTTTGTTCTAAAATGAAGTATGGCCCCTTAAACTGGTGAAAGTGCGTGTCATATCCAACATTGTTTATTATCTTGATGATTGACATCAAAAAGAAATTGCCGAAAATGGAACGTACTGTTAGTGACTTTAAAAATGAAATGTGAGTTTTTAAGACTCCCATAACTTTAACATAAGTTATTCTGAAACTAACTAGTTGTTCTAACTTTGACAGTGATTCGATGCAAAAATGCTTTGATAGTGCAAATTATTGTACATGCAGGTAAATTGAATTTCCCTAAGCGTTTTCAAGTTATGTTGTAAGAACGCTTGATATGAACTTTCGAATTCTTGTTTGCATAGTGGTGTTTCAAAGCGCTTTTGAATTGGTAAAATAACTAAATTGCATAAGGCATAGATATACGATGATTGTTTGTCTCATTTAAGCACTTGCAACAACCATAAAGTCTAAATTTGTAAGAAAAGTCTCATCAATAGTTTGTATTCCTTACTGTAGTAAAAATATACAGCTGAAAAGATGATAATTATCTTTTTGTGCTACCCCCTTGTTTTTCCCTTTTTACTATGTCTGTCTTCTGAGTGGTTAAGCACTTAAATAGATTAGATCAATATGATCGATAACTATGCTCATGATTTGTTTTTCTTATTTTATAATAGATATCATGGCTAATATCCTCCCTCCAGCTGATCCTCGAGTTGAAAACTGGCCATTGATGAAGGATCCAACACCAGTGTTCGTAACTGTTCTACTGTATCTAGCTTTTGTTCTCTGGCTGGGTCCAAAGTTTATGAAAAAGCACCAAACACCATTTGACCTACGTCCACTAATGGTTGTTTACAACCTGTTTCTAGTTCTACTTTCTGGTTGGTTGGTATACGAATACGCTGTTTCAGGATGGTTTACCGGATATTCACTTGGTTGTCAACCTACTGATTATTCAAGAAGACCAATTGCTATGCGTATGGCTACTGCATGCTGGTTTTTTTTCATTTCTAAAATAATTGAGTTATTTGACACTGTACTGTTTATTCTTCGAAAAAAATTTGAGTTAGTTAGCTTCCTTCATGTCTTTCATCATGCAATTATGCCTATTTCTTGGTGGTATGGCGTGAAGTATGTTGCAGGTGAGTATTGTTCATTTATTTATTGTATAATATGATCTCTACGTAATTTGTGAGGTGTTATTTAAAATTATCTGTTGTTTGATCTATTTCAAGGTTAACTTAGAGGCCTTCAGGTTTGAATGACTAATATCAGGCAACTCATTGGTACTATTAAGTTTTTAAAAGTACATATCAGTTATATAAACCCACATACGTTCTAAAGTAATTCATCACCAAATCACTCTATACATCATTTTTCTTTTCAGGTGGTTTGGGAACTTTCCATGCATTTTTAAATTGTATCGTTCACTTTTTTATGTATACATATTATGGTTTAGCTGCAGCTGGACCTCGTTTTCAAAAGTACATATGGTGGAAAAAGTACGTTGTCTACATTTCATCTTTTACTACATTTTATATGCTTATTATAATTGTAGATTTTCATGATGTGTAATGAATGCTTTGACACAAATCTCCCAGCTATTAGTTCAGGCTTTTCACCTACCAGTTGGACTTGTCTGTTCTTAAGTAGTTTTTCGTTTACTTGTATTGCTCTCTCTCTCTCTCTCTGTTGAAAAACACAGTCATTCAATTAATTTAGAAGTGCCTGAACAGAGTATATGAGCAAACAATCATATTATCAATGAATGGGTTTTCTATTCCCATAAACTCTGTCGGACAGGATACTCGCCATTTTTAAACGTATACCCTATTAAACGTACGTATTGATGGATGAAATTCCCTTCAATTTTCTGAAAGAAGATTTTGTTCAAGTTAAACTTTCCACGCATTTGATAAAAGTCGAAATATGTGTTAAAGTCTAATAATCAAGGGTAGAAAATAAATACATTTGCGCCATTGTAACCAATTATCAACCATATCCGCTGACTCATCATTGATCTTTTGAACCCTAGCCAGGATGTCTACACCTCCTGGATTAGGTTCATAATCAATAGCGAGAACTGAAACTCGAACAGTTTCCTTTAGCATTGTACCGATTCTGGTTTTTATCGTGGGTATCAGTGTTTCGATCACACAAACCGTCTCTTAACAGGAATATTGAATACCATAAATTCAGAACAATGACTATCCAGTCTGCAACACGTTTGCTAAATAATTCAGTCGGTTACTCGACGAGAGTTTTTCAACAATTCCTAACATTTCAATCACTATAAACTCACTCTAAGTAGTCGTCAGGTATCTTAGTTTCCATTGATTTTACACTAAAGAACAATGAGGGTTACCGTAGTACATATATAGAGAAATACAACTTTTGAATTACTCTATATGAATGGGGTTTCTTTCGTTTGGCTTTAGGCATTGTCTCAACGACAGTGAACATATATAGCTACAATCACCCAATGTCTGTAACAATTATTGTTCAATGTTTCACCTATATATCCTGTCATACTTTTTTTGTCCATTAAACTCAAAGACAATAATGTATGTATTCGATATCTACTAAAATGGATATTGTACTGAAAGACTTAAAAATATTAGAGGCATTGAATTAGGGTTAGAATTAGTCGTGGAGATAAGAGAGGTATTAGGGGGTGTAGCAAGGATTTGATTTTGACCAATTCGGTCTCGTGTGCTGTTACGGGTATGAGGGCGGTTGTCACTTCCCGGCTGCCCACACCGTGGAAGGTTGTTTCTTGAGGAACCTGAAAAGAAAGGTAGATTAGCGTTGGTCTGAACGACCTGGGAGCGTGACCGCAGAGCCCAAGGGACAACTGCTTGAGGCCGGTCACGCACGGCCTTTTTATGAGAAGTTTTTTGAGTGTTAGCTCCGCTCTTGAAAGCCCTTAGTGGGCACCCTTACCGCCGGAGACGGAAATCCGTGAGGTAGGGTGAGGTGTGACATTTTTAGGGTCGACCTTTTCTAACCTTTCCTTCCTTGTGAGAAGGCAGCATCGCTGCAGATGCTGGTTGTCCGAGGGAAACACCTTACTGCTGTTAGAATAAATAAGCATTGTCTAACATGACTGATTTAGTTTTATCATCTGCATTTTAAAATGTGTATTAGAATTTATTTTATATGAAAATCTCTGTATGACAAACTCATTTTATTGTAGAAATAATACTTGATTAATTATTACTTGACTTGAAATTTTTCGCATTTTTACACAGATATTTAACTGCAGCTCAAATATTCCAATTCGTCATTGTTATTGTTCACGTACTCTATGCATTGTCTATAACCGATTGTAATTACCCAAAATTTTTCAGTTATTGGATTTTGTCATCAGCATCCGTTTTCTTAATTTTATTTGCTAAATTTTATTCAAAAGTAAGTTTTTATATACAGATATATAAATATTTGTATGCTTTGATGTATTGAGTTCTCTGAATTGAATAGTGTAGTTGTGGAGCTCTCATTGATTGTTCTAGACAAGATCATCAGAGCTTATTCCATGTAAAAGTGCGATATTACATCGAGAATGGTAGAGGTAGTAACAGTATCAATGGTAGGAAGAAAAGCTAATTATGAAAAGGAAAAAGTGTAGAGGAGTTTTGAAACTCAAGATCTAAGAGGAAAATAAAGAAAGAATACATCTGTACAGTTGCGAATGATTCTGAACCGTTTCACTAAAAGTCTCCAACCACTAATTTCAGTTGTCACGAGAACTCCAATCAGTTATTCTCACCTACATACACAGCTGAGTCAAATTGTCAATAAACTTCATGGGCCGATGTCATGTTTTTGTTTGGGCATCCTTTCTTTCTTCCACTTTACGCGAGCTTACATGATACATTTCCTAACTGCCTCGATTAGTGAATGTTTACTAGTTCTGAATAAATTGCCATCTTAACATGGTACCTTGCATCTAATTTCAGTATCGCTTACCTCAAAGATAACTGTAATTAAGTGCCAGTAACCTACAAAAATAATCTGTGGTCATCTTTCACGCCTACAAGTAGAACTGAGTAAACTGCTACTCAGTACACATCCTCTGGTTTACAGTTGGATTTCTCGTCTGCTCCACAAAAACTGTAATTAGGCAAACCGAACTCAATTATCTTAATGTATACTGAGGTTTCATCTGGCACAAACATACGAAGCTTGGAGAGACTTTCAAGATAATTCAAGTGGTTAAAACGTTAAACCGTTTCATTCTCTATCATTAATCCAGTTATTGACAAAGACCAATCTTTAGGGTAACATATTTCATTTAGCGGGAGAGAGTGAGTCCTTTCCCGAACACGCTTACATTGTTGCTAAAACTGATCAAAATACTTTGCATTATGTCATTATCCTAACCAGACAGAATTGTATTATCTGCTCATTCTAAATCAACAAACGAATCACCAACCCCTGAAAAGTGTCATTCGATATCAATGTTACCTTTAGAAAAATTTCTAGGAGGAAGTCGCAAACTCTAATGAACACCACTTGAGGTTGGTAACTCTTCTTGAAGTTGGCTATAAGCCTTAAATCAACCCTCAGTGTTCAAGTTGATAGTTTATACAAAGTTGATTTACTTCTATGATATACACCTTTCACTTACAGACACTATCAACTTACCTCACGAATAGCAGAATTGAATACTACCTTGAAGTTGAGGAACAGGACTGTCATCGAACGTCGACAAGTATTTCTATACTCGAGAATCTAAGGAGGGGTAAATATTTGGTTGATACTACTAGGCCCAAGACTGAAACCAATCTGCCTTTCTTGGTTTTGCTCCTCCTGAACCATAGCTGAACGTCATATTATTACTGAAGCAAATATTTAGGGAATAAGTGTTTGTCAGTCTGTCTCGTCCGCGATTGTCACACGAGTTTTCTTATTTCTTATTAACTTGGACGACCAGCAATCGAGGTCAGTCAAATTATATTATACCCAGTCCTTAGATTCAAGTTATTCTCAGACAGTTTAGCTGACTATCTGGTTGATTGCCTCCTTCAATGTGCTTATTAATTACCAATCCATGAAATTCCTTACTTCGCTGTCAGTCTACGTTCATATATATATACATATATATATATATATATATATATATATATATTCACTGTGATGCTTATCATAATGAGTAAAAATTATTTTGTTGGTTATTTTCCTTCTCTATTATGTCTTTTGGTTTTCATGAAATAGAGCCATCACAAATCTATAGGGAATTTAAATCCTCGTGATGATCTCTTTCTGATTTCTGTAACTTATGTAATAACTGAAGCTTTTTATTTGATTATAAATTAAGCGCTGATAGTGTAGTCCAGCACACACATTGTAAACTTCACAATTAAAGCATCTAGATCAGAAAACTCAATGATACAACTGGTCTCTACGCAAGCTGCAAACTTTACTTGTTCATATGCTAAGTATTTTTCATCTTATACCTGTTTACCGGACTAGAATTTGTACCCAGTGACTCTCAGATTGAAAAACCTCTCGACGTTTCTGTAGTTCAGTCAACCGGTTAGTCTCATTAGTACTCATACCTAAAAATTGTACAACTGAAAGCGGAGTTGGTGGAGAAAATTTGTAGCTCAGGTGGATGATTGTGGTGGTGTTTTGTTCTCTGAGCTGAATGTTTTGGTTGTGGAGACTTCAGTGTTCTTCTGAACAACATCATCAGCACACAAACTAACGGAATCACTTCAATCACTCTTATGTAGACCAAAGGACAAAATGACAAAGGAAGAAAAACCAAATATCATCTACAAAATGAATTGCTTAGAATGTTAAAAAGCACTACATAGGACAAAAGTGGATGGCCTCTCCTGCTTAGTTTACGTGAACACCAACTAGCAGTCAAACGTCATGACAATTCTTCGCTTATATCAATACACAACGACAATAATGGACCTACATAAAATTAGAAAAATGTGGAAATATTGGATAGGGGAAGACAAATAACACTAGAGAATTTTAAGAAGCTTGGCATTTAGGTCAACCAGCAATCAACAAACACATCGACATTGACCCAATTTATCAACCAATCAGAAAAATCATCTGCAAACATAGGATCAAGAAACATATCAATAGGGGGATACAATCAAAACGAAGGTGCAAACAACGACAGGTTTAGGGTCAACAGCAACCAATCAAGATCGAGGTTAACTAACCAAGTTATGGGTCAAACTTGGAGAAATTCGAATACTTCACTTCTATTTAAGGTTTGTTCTGATGATGCTGTTCAGAAGAACTATTTCATTTCAAATAATAATATTAGTGCAGTGGAAATGTGTAAATTAAAATCATTTAATGATAAATGTCACGGATTGAATTTAGCTAAACAAACACTAGATAGCTATCCTGATTTCTGGCGCCTCTCAGTAGTGATCATCCAATACCAAACTGTGGGATCGATCAGATCACTTAACGATCTTCTATTGGCTTACATTTCTATCTTAGATTACAGTTTGCTCACTAGTGACTAGCTTCGTTAAGAAATTCTTGGAGTTCTAGTGCAAAGACGTGACCGGCGGAGTTCAACTCTTTCGGGTTTACACAGTTACTACCAGAGACAAATAGGTGAGGTCGCGAAAAAACCCTAGATTGATTACAGTTGGACAGTAACGTCTTTGGATATTGGCTCAGCGGTCTGGCGGTTAAGCATTTTCGCGCAAGACCCAAAGTCCCGAGTTCGTTACCTGCGAGAAGCGGGAGTCGTGGATGCGCACTACTAGTTGGTGCCATACCAGGACGAAACGGCCGTCCAGTGCTTTCAGGTTTCTAATGATGGTTTAACAATGATTGGTTCATTACTTTAATATGCAATCATCGGACAATATTCCTTAATTGATCTTACAATGCTAACTGATCAGTGATTTCTTTTACACTTCACATGACTGAACTCCAGCGGGCACATGGTTAGGGTCAGCACAACTAAATATCATAGTTTCCAATGCTTTTTTTTATAACGAATTTGAATGAAATGTAATGCTAACTCAAAGTGATTTATTTCAACTGTGTAACAACACTTACGGTCAGTTACCAATATTTTCTCTTTTCTCTCTCCAATTTAGACTTACAAAAAACCAGTCAATTCGACAGGTCGATTAACAACTGATGCCAAATACTGTAATAAAAATCAATAAATCATGTGACCGGTGTTTACGTTTCCCATTGAATAAAAATCATACATTCACTAGTGATAATTACAATTGTCGTTATTAATTCATATATATAAGAATCTGCTGAATATTAATAACATGTATACTTTTGTATGGTTATTTTTTCTTACACTTTCTCACACATCCATCCATATCTGTTTGTTTGTTTGTTTGCTGGTTTATGAATAACAGCGAAACATTTTTTTTCCAATCGTCTTCTCAAATATTTTCATCAGTTACATTTATTGTTGATTAATGTATCATTCTATTTTGTGAAAAAAATTGTCATGAATTGATAAACACACACCTACGCACGCACATATGCAGACACACACACACTGTAGTGTACAAGTGATTTTATGTGCACTGTTCTGTTTGAAATGAACATTGTTCTTTGATAGGTCAATGATGTCAGTTCATTTTTGATACCTTATTTTATCACAAGAATAAATATTAATCATTGAGAGAATTAAGAAATTTTGTGGCAGAGTTTTGGAGGTTTATGTTTTTACACATTTGAAATCATCAATCAATCATTGTTAGACCACCATTCGAAACCTGGAAGCACTGGACGGTCGTTCCGTCCTGTTATGGGACTCATCCGTGGCAGTGGGCATCCACGACTCCTGCACCTCGCAGGATTCGAACCCGGGACCTTCGGTATTGTGCGCGAACGCTTAACCATCGGACCACTGGGCCGGCATCCAATGGTGTTAATGTCTAACTATGATTGATCTAGGGATTGTAATAGATAATAATTGTTATCTGATTATGTATGATCTTTTTTCATGTACACACTGTTTCGTTAAGTTTTGTAGGAAAAGATTAAATTGACCGTAGATCTACTCGACTATAACCATTGATTGATACATTTGAAGTTGAAATTGAATTCCATCCACTTGGATTTGGATAATCACAAAAACTCGTACACAGATATACACAATTAATATGATTTTATAGCTGAGAAAGCGAAATTGTATTTGGGAAAATGAATTATATGGTCGCATATATTAAATTTGTTTGAACTATTGCAGATTATGAAAATGACTTCATGAAAATATATTTGTGGGATAATAAGAAATAGGTGTCTTACGATAGTATAGAGAATACCACAGATTCAAATTTCACCGAGTTTAAGTATTCCTGTCTAATATTTGGTTCCTACATTAATAATCGTGAATTAATCATTGTTACGACATCATTCGAAAGCTGGAGGCACTGGACGGTCGTTTCCTCCTGGCATGGGCATGGGAGACCATATATAGTCAAGGAATAACGGGTCCCTAAATTCGTGAATTGATATAGAGAGGTTGTGAAATTTATTAAATGTTACAATTGACATCTCTGCTAGGACTTGGTTAAAAAACCTCCAAAAATCAGAAAGCACTAAACAGATTCTTTGTCTTAGATGAAGCTTTTCAAAATTATACATATACATGAGTTCAGGTTATTGCATCCAGGAGTTTAGGTCCTTCGTTAGAATCATCAACTGATCTAAGCTAGATCGTTAGTAAAAACCTATGAGTACAAGAGAGCCATTTAGTCTTAGTATAGGACTCCCTCATAGTGCGCACTGACGAACCCAAACACATTAATCAGCATCACGACTCTTAGTCCTGCAGCTAAACGTCTAACCTCTAGACAAGTGAGCTGTCATACAGTGGTTTGAACGTATAACCTCGATCAGTCCACATGGAGGGTGTTAAGCTCTCGAAACGAATTGAAAAACCAAATCACTGTATGACCAGCTCAGTGATCAAAATTTATGACTTTTCATGTGATATGATAGTCCTAGACCCGATTTTCAGTGTGTCGTGGGTGCAAACTGCTGTTCGATCATGAACTAAAACGAAATGACTATGAAGAACTTACAATAATTATCTAATTAGTATCGGTTCTTTATGTAAAGAACATGTGAATATATGACTTCATTTCACTCTTACTATACAATATTTTGAAACCAGTTATTACATAATGGAATAAATGACATGGATTAGGGGAAAGCTGATGAAAAGAGGGAGTGTGATTCAAATGCACATAACCGAAATTTGATCAATATGAGGCAAAATACTGAACAGTTGTTTCATTAAATTTTTGAAGCAGTTAGCAGTGTCTAACCACTACCTAGTCAGCACTCACTTTCTAACAGAATGTGACACATTAGTAATATCTGTTTTCTGTAAACATTCCACTCTCGGTTCATAAAAAATCAATACCTGATTTTACCACGAACTGAATTACTAAAACCGCATTTTTCAAAATACTTCTCATTATAACATCCACATATCCATCACTTATCCAGTTAACTGATATAGCGAATAAATGATAAGTAGTCAGATGAGAAGGCATTTTGATGACCATCAGAAATTTCGTATAGGACGAATGCATAGTACTAGTCAAGAAATGGAGGAGGGGGAATGTTTATAGATGAATGAGTATTTATAAACTCTCTGTTCCAGTCTTACCTTCTTGCTCAAGTAGTCAGTTTTGGGGGATTAGCGCATGCCACGTTCAGATCTCGAACATCGTGCATCACAACAATATGTACTATCACATCTCCAAAACCAAATTATATACAGTGAACATTCGTTATCCCAAAATTGAAGATACCCCTTGTTGTAATTAACGCAAAAGTGCAAAAACACTTCCAATAACAAATGTAACATGGTTTTATTATACATGGAAGACATACTTACCCTTCATAATCAAAATTCTATGCCTAATTTGATAATATATATATTCTTTCACAATCTGATTTTCACTAAAATTCGCTCTAGAATATGTAGTTAGTCATTTCATCTCATTTCTCAATGTGCTTCTGGAAAAAATGAATGACCGATTCATTTGAAATGGTACACTTATGGATAACAAACGTAAAACAACTAGCTAACTAACGTTTACACCATAGCATCATTAAGCATTTATTTAATTACTCTTCTATGTCACCGGAATACCTACAATCCATTTTGATAAAGAAAAATTGATATTTAATCAAGAAACTGGTAGCTGAAAAATGAAAGAAAATCAGAAAGTTTCTGTCAACAAAACTATTATTACATAAATGTGGAATTGAAAAGTGTTCACACTTTTAAAATACGAAAGAATTGTTTGTCTTTAACAATAAATAAAAAAGCAAAACTATGATTAGCCTACATAAATAGAAGACTATTTCATTTATCCGTAAAATCGAGTCATTTGTATGTGAATTCACTGGTTCATCTAACGGTGTAAAACAGACAAACATAGGCTGTAACCAGCGCTTTCTTTCAATATTGATACGCAAACATACATAGACAGTCCGCTGCAACGTAGAACTTGCTACATGTACGTACACATATGTTCAAGTTGCCAAACCACATAAGCATAGAGAGCCACGACTGTCAATTCTAATCCCATAGTCGCACATGCACAATTCTAACATTAAAAGAATGAGAGAAAGAGTAGAGCGGTGAAGAGTTATGTTCGTGAACTTTTGGTCAACTTTAATCAACCTTAATCACATTATGCCACATATTGATTTTACGATTATTTATGTAAACCCGTTTATTTTCAACTCCCGTAGAATAGTAAATGGAAGCTTAACATTGTAATATCTCATCCATGTTTTTGACAGTGTGTCTTTAAACTCGATTGTCATTACTAATATTTCAGCTTTGATTTTATTGATTTAGGAGATTTAAAAATATATCCCTCTCCCCTTTTGATTAAGAATGTAGTGAAAAAAAAGTTGTTATTTTCTCTTTGACGAAATCATTGACATGATAGTTGTGTTGATAAAAACCATGAGCTGATAGGAAACATAAAAACATGCAAATATTACATCATAACATGATTTGACATTTAGAATCTGCACAAAAAAGGTTGCCTAATGATCAACAATAGGTTAGTAGTGAATAAGACAATGAAAATTGAATTTATGAGTCAGAAATAAATCAGAGAGAGAGACAATTGATTAATAATAATCATGAGAATTTTTTATAGGATAATTACTGATTTGTTGTGTATGTTTTCAAATAAGTCGAGCCCAAATGGCTTGTCCCCCTGACTTTGGATGAATCAACAAATTTATTCTTCTCGATTTACTACTATTCACACGTCTTTCATCAACTGTGTCAATCATTCACTCATAAGTTGGTTGGCTCTTACTTTAGTGTGTGTGTACAATGCTTACTTGGCTTATCACATGTCTTCAGCTTATTTTTGTCTGACTATCAATACTTAGTCATTCCTGGTCACATTCAGTTGGCTTACCCACCTTCTCTAACTTCACTACGCTTTGGTTGTATGTTTTATATTCTCATATCTGCCTGTATGATTTAGTGCATGAAATAAAATCATCCTCCAAAACGGATTTCGCTTCATAATCATCACCGTTGAACAAATGGGATTCACCGAAGCATGACTGACGGAAACTGAAAGGAAGGAGATAGATGTAAGAATGGACAAAATTGGGTATGACTCAAAAGGAAGTCCCAGGATATAGTAAGTTGGAGAATGCTGGTCAGTAGTAGCCTATGCTTGCTTGGAAGTAATAGCCATAGGTAAGTTTAAAGTGATTGCCGTTCAGATTACGTCAACTATTTTAAATATACAATTTTTCCAGATTGTGAAACGTGTAATCTCTCAACACACAATATATAGGATATAGTTAGTCTTGAATGTTTGAATAAAACAAGTATGATTAATATAACAGAATAATATGAATTCATTTTATTTCACGAAGCAATTAACTTGGCGGCCGCAAACATGGCAGAAATCCATGAAGTCACTGACAAGTGAACTGAGTCATGTTGGTAGATGTAGACTACCTGGTTGAAGTCTGCGAGACAATAGTAACCGATGTTTAGAGACCTTGAACGACAGGGTTCAAAATCGTTTGGAATGCTCCAGGTGCATCCATCTTTTAGCTTTTCTCAAATCCTAATCTACTGAAATCTTCATCACGTTTATCTTTCTCTTTTTATGTATATCTCACGAGACTATACTTCTTAAATGATACCTTCAAAGACTAATCTTTCTGATAACCGTTAATACTTATACTACCTTTAACACTATGGGATTTGCGTAGACCATTTCGTCTCTGTGCTAATGTAGTTTGGCGACTTGAACTGATGCACGTGCGTATGAAGTTCTGCGTTGTAACTAACTGACTGACTTAGGTGTATCGTATTAAGAAGTTATAGTATATAAAAAGAATGTGTCACGAATGTATCATTAACATACTTAATGTACAGTATCATTTACTAGATTCATCGCTGTCTGTTCTAAATTCCTCATAGGTATATCTGCCAAAAATTTGACCCAGTGTGCTACTTATAGCCACTCCATCAGTTTGACGATATAAATTGAATGCAGTCAGTCAATTACAATGTAGAACTTTCTAAGTGCGCACATAGATGCAATTATCAATTAAAATACCATAATAGTAAAGGCAGTAAACGTGTTAGCGGTAATGGAGAAGATTAGGGTTCGA